GCCGCCTCCGCGCCGGTTCCGCGCCCGGTGCTGCCCGCGCACCGCGGAACGGCCGAGCCCCCCGAGCTTCCCACCCTGCGGGGCTGCCGCAGCCCCGTGCTTGTGCTGCTGCCGTGTTGCACTGGTCGTACCCTAACTTTTTGCGGTCTACAGGGTGAGCAGAAAACGTTCTAAACGTTAACTTTCTTATCGCAGAAGTAATAAACGCGCACCAGTGCAGCTAAGAAGATGCCTTCTTGCCGCTCAAACCACGCTCCCGGGTTTTCTGATGCCACCGGTTCTCCCTTTCATGGTTTCATGCCCTAATATTTTGTGGTTATGCCAAGAAAGGCTGAAAATTTAGTTATTGCATTCTCTGTTTTTAGAAGAATCAGCTTGCACCTGTGCTTTAAACCTCTTCTCTTTCAGCAAACCTCAAGAAGAGTCGCATGTGAGGATTGTGTTCACCTTTGCAGATCTTTTGATTCCTGCGGTATTTTGTGTGCTGGGAGAACTTTTGAAACGTGCCTATACAGAGCTCTTGCACGGAGTAAATACTTAGTCGAAATCTGGTAGTAAAGCACCAAATTCTTCCTTTTTAGTTGGCAGAGAACTTACCGGCGTTCTTGAGCATCTGGCACTTGCTAGTTTCCCTACTTGCCTTTTGGTACAAATTACACGCTGTGAAAACGGCAGGCTTAAAAGGGATTTTTCTAGCGATGGTACTGTATCCTGCACCGGAATTCGTCTATACTTATTTTTATATATATAATTTTTTTTTAACATATCAAATGTAAATTGCATTTGAAAATTTATACGTGAAAATTCTTGTCTTGACTGCAGTTTGATTTTGTTGCGTTTTGTGCCTCTGGGGGTTGTGTATAATCCTTGCCTAAGCAGCAATGCATTTGCAATAGATAATGTTACGAATTACCGCGTTCTCGGTGTCTTTTAAAACGTAGCTGTTGTATATCAGCCAATACAAAAAAAAGTTCTCGTTCAAAATGCTAGCACGCTGGTTTTTGAGATTTTAAAATAAAGTCACTTTGAGCAGTTATTTCGTTAAATCCCATGTTTGATGCTCACAAGCATGTAAGGAAAGGGTTCGCTTTGGGGTACACACAAGCTAGCAAGTGCTGCGCTTCAGTGTATTAATAACGTCCCTTGGCATGCAGAGCGTGGTAAGACATCTCACTTAAAGGACTCGGTGTGCGTTGTACGTTTTGTCAGCTTTTGTTACAGACTTTGCTTCCTTTTTTGGTAATGTGGCTGGTTTTGATAGGAAAGCGCAGAACTGTAGGGGTGTTGTAGAGATCCTGAATTCCCAAAGTTTTGCTGTATGTACTGACTATTTACCAATTTCTAAGTAGCTGACCGCATGCAGTAGCTTGGATGATACATTCCAGTAAAAAAGTAAAGGAGCATGGTGATTCCAGGGTTTGAGTCAATCAATGAAAGCATTTAAATTAATTTTTGCCTCTGAAAACCCTCCGTTAGCTTTTCTTCTGTGTGTTTCACACACACGTACCGTTGTGTTTAATGTTGGGTAACGCTGCAACTCTGCAGCCTTTGCTTAAGAATTTCTGTGTGATAGCCAGGCTTCAAGGGAAGAAGAAGCAAAATCGGAGATGAATAAAAGAGGGTTTGTTTTTATTTTTTAAAGAAAACAAACTCTTGTTTGCATTGAATGATTAATTGTACTGCTCTTCTGTACCAGGAGTGATTTCAGTAGCCTCTTCGTTCCGAGCTAACCTGGCTGGCAAACAGCATTTGTGTTGATACTTGGAAGGGAAGGGTCAGTTTTCACATTGCGTTCTCGTAATAGATGAGATGTGCTGTGAGTGCTGGGGAGGACGAGCACCCTTGGGTTGTTCGGTTTGTCAGATTGTATAAGGCGCTGGCAGCCCCACTGCATTAGCTCCTTCATGCTGTTGAGCAGCAAGAGCAAAATACACTTTGTGTATCTGATTTCTGCAGCGCTGCAGTGCTCAGCCATTCTAAAAATCAAATGCCCCAAAGGTTTGCCTCTCTTAGAAGAACTTGTTCATTTTCTTGGTCAAGGATTAAACAGCAGTTACTGGAGGGAGACTTGATTTGGGGGGCGGGGGGGGGGAGGGGGGGGTTACTGAAGTGAAAGTGTGAGCTCACACTACTACATCAGGAGTCAAGCACACAAAGGTAGGACTGGGATGTTGGTGCTCTGGAGATTTACAAGTAGCTGTTTACCAATACACAAACAAACAGTAGGACAGGCAAAGTAGGAAGTGTGGGTAAGGAAGAGGAGTTATGCGCATTGCCAGTGTTAGAGGGGTTTAGGTCTGCACTGATGCGAAATCCTTCCTTGTAACCCAAGGGCAGAGGGAGCTGCGGGAGCTCTCGCGGCTGGGCAGTGCCTGGCCCCAGCAGATGCTCTGCAGAGCGGCCGCGCTTTTGCGCTTGCATTCGGGCTGTGGCTGGTCCCTGACAGCATCGGGCCGCGCTCAGGGCAGGCGCCCTCCTCCAGCGTGCCACCCGCCTTCAGAGTGACTGGTGGTGACCCGTGTGCCTTGCCCGTGCAGGGTCCTGCGTGCGCAGCCCAGAGAGGCTGGCGCCCGGCCGCTGAGGGGTGGGGTGAGGCGACGTGGTGGCCAAGGGGTATCTGTTGTTGGGGCAGTTGGCATCGGGCAAACGCGTCCCTGATGGGAGCTCAGCCCTTCCCTCCAGCTCGCAGGAAGGCACAAGGCTGCGCTGTGCCTCGGAGCGCTTCGTCCCTGCTGGGAGCAGGGCAGCCTGCTCGTGCTCTCCAGGTACGCGGGAGGGCAACTGCGCTTTCCAAATGCTGTTGTCTTACAAATTGGTTATCAGCAATTTTAGGAAATGGCTGCTTTCTGTAAGGCAGACAGTATTCAGCAGAATATAACTTTTTTTTTTTTCCTTTTATTCTTAAAAAGGTAGATGGTTGCTGCTCAGCTTTCCGATGTGGTTAGGAAAAGGTCGTTGGTGTTCCAGTATCCCAACTTTCTTTCCAGATTTCTTGTCGTAGAATATTCTTGCTGCCACTTGCAAGAGCAGGGAGTGCTTGCTCTGTAACAACTGCAGAAGTGGCTACAGCACAGCCCTTTGCCTTGCTGGGCACAGTCACACAGAATCAGAACCTGGTCCCTTCTGCTGACTGCCATCCACTCAGAGCCTGATCCCCGCAAAGCCCCGGCAAAGCAAACTGTCCCCTAACCAGCTAAAGCAGCAGCGCAAACACTGTAATCTCTTTTCATGTAAATTTGGAGCATCAGTGTTAGCACCGTGGAGTCTTTTTCCTAACTCTGGCCAGCCCTGCTCGTTCAGTCTCCCACACGGAAGGATTTCAGCGCTGTCTGGTTGAGCACATATTTTAATTCTGTGCTAGTGCTGTTTGCATATATTTTAATTTCATGCTAACGCTACCGTTGTTTGGTTGGAGCTGGCTCAGCCCCGGGCAAGTGTGCGTTGTTATTTCACAGGTACTGGGAACAGGCTTGGATCGTGCCCCCAGGGCAGAAGCCCACAACTGTGGAATTGCTTCTCCTTAGCTGCCTTATATTGTTTCTTACAGTCGGGTTGTTTAAAATCAGCACACCCTGCCCACCAGACTCCAAGCTGGTGCTTGTAGCTTGTCGCATGTGTTCAGGACAGGCGTGCAGCCTGCCGTGGCTCCTTGCTGGCGTGCCCTGCCTGCAGCGGGGATGCGTGCGGGCTGCCTGCCCTCCTGCTGCTCCGGGAGCAGATCAGCTCCAGGCAGGGGCAGGAGCAAGCGGAGATGGGGGGGTGTGTGGGGGGGTGTGTGTGCGTGCTCTTTTGGTTCTGTTTTAAAATGTTCAATGCCCATAGATGAAAGTGTTTGGTCTTGCTAAGATTTATCTTGCTGCTTAGAGAGACCTGGCCCAAACAGACCCTCCTGAAACAGGCCAAGGACAGGATTTCTCCAGGCTTACACCAGTGAATACCATGCGGGCTCCGACCAGCATCGTCCCTCTGTTTTACATGTATGTGCAGATACAGGAAAAACACAGAGAAGGAGCTCATTAAGTCTTTCGTGTGAACTCCCACTGCGCCTTGCAGAGCTGATTTATGAGCATTCAGCATCTCTCCCACTTGTTATTTGTTGGTGAGTGTGGCTGTGCATGTGTGCACACACAGCTCTCCCCTGGGCACAGAAGTAGAAATCAGCAGACTGCACTTAATCGGGTGCTTCCCTTCGTGATTCATGTAAGTTC